ACAGAAAGCTATAATATCAGTGAATAATATTATTTAGAAATGGGCCTTGTCAGACAGAAAAACTTGTGGCACTGTGACCTCTGTGATATATTGTGCTCATCCTTTTTTTTTTAAATAAAATTAATAACAAAGGATACATATTATTTTCGAAAATTTTATCTATCTATGCGAAGTTGGATTGGATCACTAGTAATTAGTATTAATGTTTGTCAATTAAGTTACTCTTGAGTTGGTCTTGTTAAGGTACATGTCAAAGTCTATTGATAATCCGTCCCAGTCATCTGCAGGGAATTTTCATAATGAAAGTCATCAGAAAACCTGCACCATTTTCTACATGATGTATTATAAGAAGCATCTTATGTGTTATAAACTGAGACACAATTCCATTATGTACTAAGGAAGAATGTCTATTGTAAGTTTCATTTGCACCAAAATCAGAACAGGTAAATTATGTCGCTCCACAAGCAAACACTACCAAAGTAATTTAAATAAAGAACATATGCATTGGTGAATAGTAAAATTGTTCATTACCTTATATTGAAAATATTTTTAATTTTAATTCAACATGCATGTAGTACCCCTGGTACTACATGCATGTTGAATTAATCGACGGTTTTTAATTTATTTGTTGACGGGATTTCATCTTATCAAACCTTCATCTCTTGGGTCTTGTTTAAAACTATAAAAATTTTATTATTCTCTCAACACAAAGCCTAAATAAAAAAAGAATTATTATAAAATATTCATTTGTGAGCATATAAAGATTGCCTATCAACAATCCTTATATGGACTGTACAGGAGTAACTAACTACACCTACAAGGTATTTAACATCTTTATTTCTTGGGTAATATAAATAAAAATTAAAAGTCAACTTAAAAATCAAATTAACTTTGTAATCACATTGCACATAACTAAATAATTAAATTTTTCCACAAAAAAAAAATGATCTTCAATTCTAGCAAAACCAGTTACTTTGATATAAAAATTAAACTACTGAACTGATTTTGATAACATTTCTATGGAACCAATTTGTAAGTATATAATTAAAAAAACCAAACCAGGTTTACTGATGGAGTTATGGTTATCCCATAACTCCATCAGTAAACCTGGTAAAAAAAGCAAAAAAAAAAAAAAAAAAAACAATACAACCAAATTGAGAACTTTCTTCTTTTTGAAATGGGTTGATAATAAGAATCCTACTAATTCAAAAATTTGTGATGATATTTGTATGAATAGATGTTAGTTACTCTTTGAAGCAAAACCTACTGAATGTCATTACAATATTGATATAACTTTTCAGCTATTGATTGTACACTGAATTTGATAGTATGTAAAACACAAAGATGTCTATAATTCACCTCAATTTTATTTAAAAATCTACTAATAGTTTAAAGGATAAAAAATAATGTAATAATTATATGGATCTCACAAAAGAATTTAAACAAAAAAAGCTGCTAGAATTTGTCATCACATTCAATATATTAATAATATTACTAAATAGATCAGTAATAAAAATATTGAAATAATATAAAAGGCATTATATAATTGTATTCTGTAATAGATTATCTATAAAAACTTCAATTGACCACAAGAGGCAAAATATATAGAACCTGTGGAAATAATGTTCTGATTTAAAGATAGATTCCAATTTACAAGAAGTTATAACAATATCCAGCATTAAAAGCAAAAGACATTTCAATAAAGAATCATGGAATAAAATAGAAAAAAAAAATATATCTGGATGTTTCCTATTCATAGGACCTAGATTAATATACTGCTAGGGTTTAAATGAATAAATGATAAAAAAAACTGTATGTTTATTCTATTTGTATTATTTTTACTTGTATCTTTCTTGCACTAGATTACCTGCTATTATTTTTACTCTAAATGCATTGGGTTGGCTGGAAGAAACCTTTTTTAGAGATAAGCCCACCCTTGCTAACAAGTTGTTAAATTAATTGCTGTATCTTTTGTTCAAGTGCAAAAAAGTATATATATATATATATATATATATATATATATATATATATATATATATATATATATATATATATATATATAAAGAATAGAAAACACTAGGCACTAAAATCACATTATTAGGGATTTATAATTTACTTTGTGTACCCCACAGCTCTGCCCATTTAAATTTAAAATATAATGTATGTACCAAATTTCATTCAAGTCCATACAGTAGCTTTTGAGTTAAAGAGTAAAAAAAAAAAAAAAACATGCAACCCATCCATTGTACAAATCTTTGGATTTATAATATTAATAAGATTTAAATTTCATTATTTTCCTAAAGTTTTTATCTATGGATCTAATAGTCATTCAGATTGAAAATCATTGTATTCAACTGAACACAGTTCAATGCCCACTTTATATCACTGCATAGAAGGTCAAATGAAGAAAATATAATATTCAGCATTTTATTGTTACATATTAAAAAACATTTTCTCAAAATTAATAAAAGAAGCAAACAAGTCCTTATTATTGTAAAATTTTATTATAGGTAAGTAGAACTTGGCGACTTCTATCTCAACAATTTCACAATTTTGAAAATTAATGATTAAATTGTTACATATGTATAAATACCTACGTACAATATAGTCTTGAGCGTATTTCTTTTTTTATTACTTACTATAGAGTATAGATTTTAAATATAAATTATAGTATTAAGAATCACTTATAAAAAAATATAATCTTAGACTCCTCAATTATTTGGGGGACCATACCGTCAAGGTGGTTCAGTCAAATAATAGTTTGCAAGTACACACCGGCCGGCGACTTCTTACGAGTCATATTTATTGAAATGCCCAACAAATCGACATTTTAGGACCTAACATTAATTGTAAGAACTAGAAACTACATGAATAAGATTAAATACATATGTGATAGAACAAAATTCACGTTTCTGATTCGAATTGGTTGCTAGCCGTCTGCCACATGTCGCCATCTTGTCAAACTTGCTGGGTAAAATTCGTCATCCATTTACTCGTCATCCACTTTTGACACTATTTTATAGACACTTTGAAGCACAAACGCACCAAAAAGAAATGTTTTATAAATCACTGGTCACAAAAACCTACATTGCGAGAAACTTACTTCGAAGCCTTCTGACTTGGCCCAGACATTGCCATCGTGACCGGCAATCGCTGCTTTTGTAACACATCTTGATGCCATTAACTGTTTATCAACATAATCTTGCCAGCTCATTTTGAAAGAGTTCGATTAAAAAATAAAACTACTTGGCTAAATCACAATTACTCTACACAGCGAGCTATCGCTCCTCACGAACAAAAAGCACTGCCGTTTCAAAATGGCAGCGTACTCATAGACAAGACAGGAAATACAGTGCTGCCAATATACTGAACTGCGGTCGTGTTGGCCACAGCTAAAAATTCTTTATAGACTACAAAATAAGATAGAGTACACAGATAAAGTATAATCTAAATAATGATATTCGTAAACGGTTAAGTTATAGATTATTAATAACATGTGTAACTTGACGCTTATATAAAAGTAATCTGAACGACATTTTCCCATACAAATACCAGAAAACCAGTTACTTTCCGCGAAAGTCATCGAAGATGCTTTACAACATTTCTAAAATACCTGTTCTTGTAAAATTAGATTTAAATTTGTTTCATCATTAATAAATTCAAAATATTACTTTTAAAATTATTAGATATTAAAATATCAAAATTATTCTAGTATTGGAATTCATATCGAATTTATCGATATTTAAGGTTGAGCCCGTCTTTTGTTTAAAAACAATTAATAAGCAATGTAATTAAAAACAAGTAAACACTAAAACATTATTAAAATTGGTATTGTTTTTTTTTTCAAATTGCATTATTAAAACAAACAAACTCAAACACGATAAAATTATCTAGTTTATTTAAATTCTTTAGTCACCTTCCAATATTTTCTAAGCAGTCGCTACTTATCGTAATAAATGTAATGACTATAAATCAAACAAAAAAAGATCTGTTTGGTTTCTAATGGTTTTTTAATTAGGTTGAGGTTAGTGACAATGGGCTAGTCACATAGCTCAAGGAACCGACAACAGATGGGGAAGAAAGGTTCTTGAGTGGGACCCCGTACGCGCAAACGAAGTGTAGGACGACTTGCCCTAGATGGAGTGACGACCTTAAATACATTGCAGAGAGTCCGTGAATGCTAATGGAGATAGAACAGAGTGGTTTGCCAAATTGGTAATGAGAGAAGGAATAGAAGTAGAAAAATATTATACATTGAAGTACCGAGTGAATTTTAGGGTAATTTTGACAAGGTCCGGATAGATATACACTTATAATTTTACAATTTACCAAACACGATAGTTTATGTTAAAACATGCGTTTATTCAGTTTTTTTTTTTTTCACGAGTGACATGACGGACGATAACAGATGGTAATCTAGTAATATAATTTATAATAAACCTAGTAACCATTTATAGACTTTATACTATTACTATCCAACCTTAATAAATGCATCTGCATTTATTAAGGTTGGATAGTAATAGTATATCATTCGGAATATTTTTTTACTACAGTCTGCAGGAGAAGCCTATGTTCAGCAGTGGGCAGATAATAACTGAGATGATGATGATGATGGGATTAATTCTGAAACACTTATTATTTCTCTAAATTCATCTTTTAACCTAAATTCTCTAAATTCATTTTTTAATTTAATAGTTTCGCAATCTTATTGTTTTATGTGCAGTCATAAATCAAACCTTTGTAATATTTTCAATTCATATTGATCCCTAGAATAAAGACTTCATTGTGATATCAAATTGAATATTTAATTATAGAATTTAGAGGAATGGAGTCATAGAAAGGACGCCATCGTGTGAAAACACTCAACATAGATTAAGAATAATAACTACCTACGTTCTTTCTATGTCACGAAATTTTCTTTTGTAGGGAGTATGCCTAGATTTGAACGAAACCTGTTAATACCAACATAATACTCTTGCTTGGTGCATCTGACGAACTTCCGTTATTTTATTTTCCCATATTTTAATAATATTAATCTTGTCGTGATACGATACACTCTTAAATATCTCTATATTTTTAAAAATCTAATTAAAATAAAGTGATACTTATTTTCATTTCATCTTTGCTACAGAATACAAAATTATATATTAATATATAAAAAGCTTGTGATATAGTTAACTTGACCTTGCTAGTTCTTTTCCGTTCAGCTACCGCGATTGGAACATGTCTTACTCACCTGAAAGAAGGTAAGCTTAATTTCTGTCTTATTTAAACATTGTAATAATGAAAGCATATTAATTATTTTGTACATTTATAAATATAAATTGAACTATCATTCATTTTCTTGTAATTCCACATAAATATTGCTAAATTTTATCAATAAATCCTGTCGCCGATTGCCAACATGGCGCTGGCAGAAATTAACATGTTCTTTTATGTGCACGTGTTTTGTAATTTAGCGAAGCCGCGTAGGAATGAAATTACATTCAACTGTATATTCATTAACATTTATAAATAGGTATTAACTTTCTAAATATTTTTCTATATAATTCAGTGCTAATTATGGAATACCATTTTGACAGTAGCGCCACTCCGCAATTGTAATGATTTTTGCATCTTCATAGAAGTTTTTAGTAATGACATTCTTCTATATCAATCGATTTTTGACATTTATATGCAAATATATTTACAGATCAGAAGATTGGCCGGAGGATGCCAAAAATGGGCCAAAGGATCAAGGAAATTATGATGGTCCTCCAGGCATGGAACCTGATGGAGCACTTGATACTAACTGGCATCAGGTCGTCGAGAGTTTCGACGATATGAATTTGAAGGAGGAGTTATTGAGAGGGATATATGCTTATGGTTTTGAAAAGCCGTCGGCAATCCAACAACGCGCCATTATGCCTTGCATTCAAGGTCGCGATGTTATCGCCCAAGCCCAGTCCGGTACTGGCAAAACTGCTACCTTTTCTATTTCAATCCTTCAGCAAATTGACACTAGTATTCGAGAATGCCAGGCCTTAATTTTGGCCCCAACCAGAGAATTGGCTCAACAAATCCAGAAGGTACACATAATATTTTCAAATAGTCTACTATTAATCACTAATTATTACCTTTTAACTGAGATTATAAAATTAATATTAAAGAATATAATAATTAATATAGTATGACAATGCTCTTCAATGAAAAGTGATTTGTGTGACTCCCAGTGTGAAAAGTGGAGTATCACATATGCTTAAAGATATTGAAAGTCATGACACAATTTTTAACTTATTTGAGTGTTATTGTACTTTTTTCCTTTTTATCTTACTTTTTTATTTGTAGAACTAGTTTTAGTTCCAATAAAGATTGTTATTATTATATTGGGTAAGGCCTATATTAAGAAGTGGTTAGATACAGGCTGATATGATGAGATTTATATTGTAGCAATCCAACCCAGCTTCACACAACTTGACAGAATTTTTAAAAATCAATACATACAATGAAAAAAGCCAATTTAACTGGTTATTTTTATAGCATGTTATATGATTCTTTACATTGATATAACTTTTTTATTGAAGTAAAACAAATGTTAAGTGGAGCAAACTGCAACACATTAGTGAAAACAACATTTAAATCAGTTAAGCTGTTTCTGAGATTAGTTTGCACAAACAAACAGACAATTAAAAAATCATTGTTTTGGGTTCTATTGCATTCATAAAGTCTTCCTATAATTGTTTTCCTTGTATACCTTCCATGTAAAACAGCTACCAGTTACAATTTTATTATATGTATTGATATATATGAGATATATGAAAGAAGTTCATAATGTCCATACTAAAAGACTATTCTATCATAACTTTTATGCGAGTTGTAATTTTGTTGTATATACAATTTTTTCATATGATGATGATGAATATAATTTCTCTATATAAACTAATGAGTTGATTAAAGAAAAGCAACTGTGAAGGATGTTTCTCTTCCCTAAGATATCTCTATACCAAATTTCATAAAAAAAAATTAAGTCGGGTGTGAAAACCAAATTTCATAATTAATACTATACTATTAGTAAGTATGGATTATTATATTTTAATGTAGTTCTGGCATAGAATTGGCCACCCCTTCTTTTCTTACAAGTGTTGTAAGAGGAAACTACAAAAACTAAATATTCAAGAAATGGACAACAGTGCCCCTCATAAAATGTCACCAAAGTGACTACTGGCAAAGAAGTCCCTATGGGGAGGGGGCTATGTTCAGATATGGACAGTAATAACTTTTTTTATATGTAATAATGGTATGGTAACCCGTTTGTGTTATCGGTATACACTGGCGGGGCACCAGTGATAGATGACTGATGAGGATGAAAGTAGGTCAGTTAGCCCATTCTGATGAATTCAACTAGAATTAGCCACAATGGTTTACATGCCATAGGATATTTAAGTAATGGAACTGAATTGGTCATGCTCATCCCAAATCGTCTGGTGTTCTACCTGGGATCAAGAGTAGAGCTTTTAGCTATGGGCAAAGACATATCTAATGTAGTTCTATATATAATAATATAGAATACATATGGACCTCTTATTAATGCATAAAAGTGATCATAAATATTCGGGCTCACATAACATTCATATCAGTAATTGTTTTTCTATATTTTTCTAAATATCTATTCTTTTTTATATGATTAACTCATACAACCATAAATTTTAGGTGGTGATTGCTCTGGGTGATCATTTGAATGCTAAATGCCATGCTTGCATTGGTGGAACCAATGTTCGTGAAGATATCCGTCAATTGGAGAGTGGTGTACATGTTGTGGTCGGCACTCCTGGCCGTGTTTATGATATGATCACCCGTCGTGCCCTGCGTGCTAATACTATAAAATTATTTGTTCTTGATGAAGCAGATGAAATGTTGTCTAGAGGGTAAGTTATACAGAAATTTGCAGGATTACTAGTTTTGAAAAGCATATATCAAGTTTCAAGATTCAGAGTTTGTCAGGATCCATTCTGTGAAATAAATATTTCTAAATGTTTTGAGTTTTGTTTCTCACTTACAGGACTGGTATTAAGACAAGTATTACATATATTTCTATATATATATATATATTTGTCATTTCAGATTCAAAGACCAAATTCATGATGTATTCAAGATGTTGTCTGCTGATGTGCAAGTGATTTTACTGTCTGCTACCATGCCTGATGATGTGTTAGAAGTTTCCCGATGCTTCATGAGAGATCCAGTCCGCATTTTAGTGCAAAAAGAAGAGGTAAAATTAATATTATACAATTTTTTTTTTGTTTTATAAAAAATCTTTAAGAAGGTTTTTAAAAAATAATATTTTAGTGCAATTCTAAAATTCTGTATTATTTTTTACAGCTTACCTTGGAAGGTATCAAACAATTTTTCATCGCAATTGAAATGGAAGAGTGGAAGTTAGAAACACTTTGTGATCTGTATGACACCCTCTCTATTGCTCAGGCTGTAATTTTCTGCAATACGCGTCGTAAGGTAATAAATGTATATATATAATAATATATAATGATTTCTAAATTCTAATAATTTCTATACATTTCTAAGAAAAAATATTTTTAGTGCCCAACAGAGTTCAAACTGATGATTCATAATAATGATCGTTAGGAACTGATGTCATAAAATTAGGAATAACTGACTGAAATGACCAGTCATCAACTTATGATAACTAACGACTACTCATTACTTTTGATAATATTTATATTTGTCATAAGATCACAATCAAATTAGAAAATTTTCTTACTTTTTAAAAGTTTGATTACTAAATAAAACTTCTGCATATAAAGTGAACCTCTTTTTATAAAAAAAAAAAAAAAAACTTATAGAACAGAGCAGATGTAAACCTGCACCTGTAAAACCATTATATGGCTAGTGCTCTTTTCATTTGTACTGCCATATTTCATTGTTATTTTGATATGGTAAGGTGTGAACAGGACCTGCCTTAACCTACCCTCACACCCCTGAACAAGTTTTTAATGGTGCCCTTTTGTAAAGAAACAAGTCACCATTTTTCTTTGAGGTGCCCTTGAACTAAATGTATGGCGCCTTGATGGTTCCCCGGAAAAAAAGATTATATGGGTCTACACTGTTCACTTCATAGGCGATCCTGATGTGGTCCTTTATTAATCCCATAGCGCCACTTACATCTGCACTCTTTTTCCACCTTAACGTCCCACTTAGAATTGAGTAAAGTAGAACATCACTTGTCCGTACTTGAAGTGGTGTGTCTTCAAACCTTGCCCTTAAAATTTGTTTACTTTTTTTAATAAATATTGAGTAAAATATGTTTTATTGTTAAATTGTTCGCAAGTGTAAAAATCAAACATAATAGTATGTTTAAAATATCTTATCACATAAAATTTACTATAATATTAATCAATAATCATTAACGAGAAATATTTTATAGAAATAAAACGTAAATTTGAACACTTGTAAGGAGACAGTATTAGGACTTTAAAAATAGTCACTATTTTTATCTAATTTCATCTTTGATTCCATCTAAAAAAATCCTCATAAACCAAAATGTAACTGTTTTGTACTCTACATAGAAAAATTGCTCCTTCAGTTATACCACAATTAATGTTGGACATAACAGACGTAAACTCTTGATTTTAAAAAGAAATATCGAAATCTGTTCAGAATTATCTTCTTTTTAAAATTTAAAAATATTAAACTGAACTCTTGCAGAAAGTGTGTTCTCATCATAAATTGCAAATTGCTTGAAATATACTTAATTTTTCTCATAACAGGTGGACTGGCTCACTGAGTCTATGCATGAGCGTGATTTTACCGTGTCTGCCATGCACGGTGACATGGATCAACGTGAACGTGAAGTTATCATGAGGCAGTTCCGTACTGGATCTTCTCGTGTGCTGATTACAACTGATCTGTTGGCCCGGGGTATTGATGTGCAACAAGTGTCCTGCGTTATCAATTATGATCTGCCAACTAATCGCGAAAATTATATCCATAGGTAAGATCAAATATATTACAATTATTTTTCACATTGATCTGTGCAGATAGGTTGACTTATGCAAAATTTATAATTAAAGTTATACTTATGTGACAGAATTTTTAAAATCGATTAAATATTTTTTGAGTTTATATGAAGAAGGTAGAGGTATGTTAAGATATTAGTTAGTCTTTATATTGTCTTTCTTTAGTACTAATCCCAAAATCCTTAATGAAATTATTACCAAAATATGTCCCATGTCTGTAGGCAGCTATTACCACTTTTTAGTGAATCACTTTCTTGTCATTTGAACTTTTATAAAAAAAAGCTTTATTTTTTATACAAAATTTAGAAATTAATGTTTTTTTCCTTTGTGTGAAAATTTCATTTACTGTTACTGCTTTTCAGAATTGGAAGAGGTGGTCGTTTCGGCCGTAAGGGAATTGCCATTAACTTTGTGACTGAAGCTGATAAGAGAGCATTGAAAGACATTGAGGACTTCTATCATACAACTATTACAGAAATGCCTAGTGACGTGGCTAATCTCATTTAAGGTGTCAACACTCTCTCCGTTTATAATTTGTGTCCTACCTTTTATTGAAAAAATTATAAGGTGTGAGTATTAGGAGATACTTCCTAAATACCATTGTGCCGAATTTTTTTTATTGGAACTAATTTTTATTTTGACGGATATATTTTGTTTTAGTTTAATGATCACGTTATACTATAGACCTATAAGTTTAATAATAATAATAATTAGGTGTAAGACCGGCTCGGCCGGATGGCCCCCGTTCCGCGCGGGCCTCTCTGCCGATTGCAGAGAGGTCTCATCGGGTACTGGAGAGGCTATTTCAATCACAAACGTACTAGAAGAAAACAATGTATTGTATCTCTTTCCAGATGTACATAATATGGTAACTGTTTTTGTAATACGCTAAATAAATATAATGAAATAATCTTATATGTATTGTTATTGATATACTTGGAATTGTAGCACTCCATTCCCGATCGGAACCTTAATTTGTCTAAACCATTGTACCGAGTTTCATTATAAATTTTGTTTGCAGAAGATCTACCTACTGAGCCTGTTGAAACGCACTATGGACACAACTATGTGGAAATAATAAATCAAAATTTCCTCAATAACTATTTACTTTCTTTTGACAGGTCCTTATTTGTATCCTGTATTTCCTATATTGCTTTTGCATACTTTTGAAATTTCTTTTCTACATGGTTTATATGTTCATTTCGAATTTATTTATATTTTTTGAATAAATTTTGTTCGAAATATTAGTGACTTTTACGAAGTTGATAATTAAGGTTCCTATTTATTATGATTATATTAAATAAATTAGAACTCGTACATAATATAACTACAGCATTCAGTAAATATAACTAAGTGTAATCTCGAAGAGTTGTTATTAAAATTACAACATTATATCACTATGTATACTTTTGACTATCTGCAGTATTAATAATCAAATACACAATTAATTATTTTTTATTTGTAAAAATGAAAAATTTTGTGTAATCATATAATATGTAGGAATAAAATGAAGAATTATTACTTGTTAGTCCTAGCTAAATTGCACTCGATTAACACGTTAATTTTATATTTTATTGTTACGAAAATTCAATTTGTTTCTACTATATTTTTATATGATTTCTCCCTTTTTTTAGTTTCCCTATGTCTTATAATTTATTAATGCTTTTCTCTAAACAAATCGAAAGCTAATTAAGTACGTGGTCTAGTAGCACCTCATATAAACAATATACTTTAGTAACTAGATAGAATTAAATCATTATAGAGGGTAATCAGTATTTCTGTTTTTAATGTAATAACGAGATTACTCGAATTATATGAAAAATACTTATCAGTGTAACAAATTATGTAAAAAGTACACATCGCTAAATTGAGATATTTCTTGTTGTCACATTTAGTAAACAATTTCAGTGTCTATAATTATCCACATAACAGCTCACAAAAAAAATTTAGTTTGTGTTTGTTAATTGACATCCATTTAGATTTTTTTTAAACATTTACTAAATATGCCATACAGGTTGTATAGTCAATGTTCCGAAAAGGGATCGGTGGCGGCAAAAGTTCATGCCTAATATTCACAAGAATAAGCCACCTACATTTAGTCTGTAATTTTGGAACTACCTACTAACAAATTTTGTTACTAACCGTCTTAATAAATCCGTATTTCATATCAGCCTTTAACTGTCCATTGCTGAATATAGGTCTTTCCCACAAGCGGGGCTTTGCCAATAGTCGCCACGCTTGCTAGGTAAACCACATTACGGTAATTGGATAAATTACTACATAATTATTTGTAACCGAAGCTCGCGGATAAAATGCAGTCGATATTAATAGTTGATGAAAACCTACAGAATTCCGAAACCTGTAGAGCACTTAGGTAAGTTGCTCAACATAGTTTTTTTTTTCAATGGGGTGATAATGAAATGGTAACCTCGCCAACGGTATACGAAAAGGTAGGTCAGTTTTTTCTTAATGGGTGATAATGGAATGGTAATCCCGCCTGCGCTATCGGACTACGCTGGCGGGGCACCAGTGAGGGATAACAGGTGAGGATGAAAAGGCAGGTCACCCATCGTGACCAATTCCATTAGAATTAACCACGACGGTTTCCAGGGGGATCCTCGTGGAGGTTGACCTGATTGGGTGCATTATTAGCAATGAGTCAATTGGACCTCATTACTAACAATCCGTTTACCCCCTGCAGGTCAATTAGCCCACCATAATTAATACGCCTAAAATTTAGCACAATGGTTTTTGGTCCACGTGGAGGTCGATCTGACAGCAATGGGACTGGAAAGGGGGATTGATAATAATACAATTCGCATTACTAACAATCCCCCCCATCCCTCAATTTAGTTAACACTGGAATATGATCAATGTCGTATATATAAAATCTGTATTATACAATAATATATGTAGGCTCCAGAGTATTGGAATTTTGAAAATATCTAAGTGGCGTCATAATGCCGTGTAATATGTATGAAGTAAGTATATTTATGCTCCAAGGAGATATACGCAAATATTTTGTATGCAACTGAAAGCCAAACGGCCTACCTGATGATGTGCTGATGCAAAGTGGTAACCGTCGCCATATACATGAATAGCGTCATTGTTACTAAAGTACAGAATATCTCAAGACGTCCATAATATTCGTCATTGTTAGCATCCCTAAGGACTATATTACGATATCTTCGTCAAGCGTTTTATATATAATATATTATTACTATTATATCAGTTAACAAACTGGTGAAACGTGACATGGAATGTAACATGCTGTTAAGGAATTTGTCCCCGCTTACAATGTATAATGAAAAATGACATTGCAATAAATTCCAATAGTTTGAATGCACCTAGCACACATGCGAAGTGATCGTAAATTTTTAGGCGAGCAAAGGGTGCGCACCGTCAGCACAAGGCAGTAGGTAGTGTAAACGGCCATTTCAGAAATGCGCTAGTCATCATCATCAGTTCATGTCCTTTTCCATCCCAGTCCTATAGGTATATCAAATTTCATGACATCGTTAAGGTGCCAAGTGTTACAAAAATCTATTCTTACATTATATTTTTTCATTTCATAAATAAGGCTTATATTCCACAATGTACCTATTGGAATAATCTGGTTATTAGAAAACTTCAGCAACCATATCCTTAACTAATATTATAAATGAGTTTGTTACGCTTTCACGTCTAAACCGCTAAGTTGATTATGATGAAAATTGGTATAGAAAAAGACGTGGTTCTGCTTTTTTTCTCGCTCATGCGTACAAAGTCACGAATAAAAGCTAGTTATTACATACATTACCTACTGATCCGACAAACTTTTTGCCATCTGTTGGGTCTATTTTTCTAGTTAGGCACTTTATTACCTGACTCGAAGCAAACAATAGGTGCCTATTGTTTGTTCCAATTTGAGAGACGGGTCATTATTATTACTTCCATGAAATTTCATTAAAATCAGTTGTGCGATTTTGAAGATTACCATGGATGAACATCGTGACAAATGTTTATTAACATTTTTCAATCGCACTTTATTCATATTTTTAAAAATAATATATTACCACAAACATTTATGGGTTATGTATCGGTGTTTTCTTTCTCCATGAAATTTAAGTCGTACCTTTTAGTTTCCAAAATCATCCGCTAGAGGTGCAGTTAAATTTTCATTTTCAGTTTATGCTACTGATGTATAATGTTATACATCTGATGGTAAACGGTTACTGTAGCCTTAGGTTATACTAAGTCTATGCGGTAGCCTATGGACGCTTGCAATAGAAGGGGTATCACGTGAAGAAAGCTTAATTTACACTTTTTGATAAACCCCATACTGTAGTCTCTAGGAAACGTTTTGGCAGGGTATTCATTCCACAGCCTGAGCGTTTGCGGGAGAAAATTCATTTGAAACTGTACTGTGATCATTTAGGTTCAAGCGTGTTAGGATGAATTCTCTGTCCATGGCAAATGGTGCGATGTTAAAAGCTACATATTAAGTAATGATGTTTGTTATTGTAATAGAATTTCAAACGAGCTGACGGCCCACTTGATGGAAAATAGCGATGAGGAACTTGCGTCAAATAACTTGAGTCACTCGATTTAGTCTCACCGAGTCAACTCGAGTTATATTTTCTATGAACTCGACTCGGTGATTCATGCATGCATTCAACAGCATCTGGATATTTTTTTAATTAATGATAATAGAATGATAACTCCACCTGCCCTATCGGCAAACACTGGTGGGACAATAGTGAGAGATAATAGATTAAGATGAAAGCAGGTCAGTTAGCGGACCATCACAAATTTGAAAAGAATTAACCACGATAGTTCCCAAGGGGAAACATGGAGATCGACTTGATAGGGTATATTGATAACAATGGGGCTGTTAGACCTATTATTAACAATCCTTTCCCCCCAAACTATGTATATTACAGAATACAGTTAGTAACTAATACTTTCAAATAGAAAACTTTCAAAATTCCAACAATCCATATCGCATATCTTTCGATTCTATCAGGAAATGCCCGACGTAGATGTAAGGACTTTTTTCTCGGCATTTGTAAATAGTTTTTAAGCATAGAAAGAAGTACGTATTTATGTTACTAATAAAATTATAACTAGACGATGTCTGCACATGGAAGTTATTTAATAAAATACGATCAATAGAGACCACAACAATATTTACAAATTTTGTCTGTCTTTATGTTCTTTTTAGTATAACAGAAAAACTACTGTACAAAATTAGATGTGGTTTTCATACTTGTGGCATCTATTTGTCTTATAGTATGTTATACCAAGTCGATATGTCATTGTTTTATTAATTATCCCATCAGACATCATGTAGTTACAATTTTATTATATTACTAAGATAATAAAATAATAATAATCTATTACAGTTGAATAATTACCTTCTATACTTATATAAAATCAAAATCACTAGACATTGAACAACATTTCGTATATTGTAAGTCAACATTAAGAATAATAAAGTCACAATATGTATATTATACCTATACTTACAAAGCAGATAATTATCTTAATAAATTAATATCACATCTCTGGTAAAGTTTATTTTAATTATAAAATAATGGAATAATACTTTACACAAGTATCATAAGAATGCAAAAAGTAAAATAAGTAAAAGTACAGAGATGGGAAATAATATATAAACAGACATTCGAGGGTGACATACTGATACTAGAATAGAAGAATCATCATCATCGTAAGTTAAACCATCTTTTGTAGGCACTTCTACAATAACCAATTCATCACTAAAAAAGCCAACATTGAATTCACATTGAGTTTTATTTATACAAACTTTAGATTCTGACATATTTGTATACTGGAATGTTGGTTTATAAATGTCAAAAATCGCATGAATATCATTGAGTACGAAATCATTATCACTATAAAATATGTAATAAAAATATCCATCAACTAGAACATCATGAATCACTTTGAGAGTGGTTGTTTTTTCTAAATACTTTGTGCTGTTGCACTGAATAGAAAATGGGAAAAAATTATTGATAAGCATATTATTATGATAACATTCATGTAAACTATTTTCAAAACTGGAAACAGAACTATCTTGAGTTTTGATAGTATTATTAAATGCATTTCCACCATGATGTACCCCAGTGTCCAGTATGGTGTTTGGATTATGTATTTTTTTTGGGTTTGTTTCTCTCTTCTTTCGTGTTTGTGTCATTTCAGTTGTATTAAATTGGCCTATCTCAATTGAATTATTCTTCTTTTTTGCTGCAAAACTAAAAACATCAGTATTGTCTATAAATTCATCATTATCATTGTCAATCAACTCTCCATTTTCACTTTTATCTTCAGATGTTTGATTGTATGATTTATTTTGCTTCTCTTTAGGATTCTCTAAAGTTACTAAAACATGTCCTTGGCTTTCTATAGTAGGATGAGATTTTTTATATTTATCACCTTCTAGAATACCACAAGTGTTTAATATTTTATCTCCTTTGACAACTAGTATCTTTGAACCCTCATAACGAGAGCACGCTTTCAATTCAACAGTAGCACCTTTAAAGAGATAAAAGCCCCAATATTCCAAAGTGTCATCTGGTAATGTCATTGATTTTCTTAGTCTTATGTGTTTTCTTTTATTTGATAATTCTGGTTTTCCTTTCATTTGGAATGCATTAAATGTTGTATTCATTGTTAAGGAATGTTTCTCACAAAATACTGATGATTGACCTTTGTGAATTTGAATAACATCAGAGTCTGAAATTTTATACATGACATCTGCATATTTCATATTTCGTAAATATAATGGCAAAACTATGAGTATTGTTGGAAGAATAGCAGTCAATACACAAAAAGTTATCACTCTTCGAGATCCATGCATTTTATCTCCATCTGAAAAAAGGATAAATAGAATTAATTAATAATAAAGAAAAGAGTAAATAGCCTTTATAACAATTTATTTACTATTAAGCCTTAAAGTGTATGCCATGCTCTGCAATTTTTTATTTAGAGATATACTGGCTAGTAAGAACTATTATTAATATTAGTATGTTTTCTTTTGTAATAAAAATTTAAAAGGAGAATATTTGGTAAGGTCTAGTATTACAGAGAAAGAAAGTACCAAGATAATAAGAATATGTAATTGTTTTAAACTTATATTCATTGCTTTTAGTCTAATGTTATAATATAATGGTGAGTTAGCATTTAATGTATTCCTACAAATAACAATAATTGTAATTTTTTATTAATTTGTCTTTATTGCCTCTATACTTAATTGTGTCTGTATTATTACTACCAATATTATAGCAATAGTATTTTTATTACCAATTACAGTACCTAGGTACCTTATTAAAAAAAATTCCAAAACAATATAAGTAATATATGCAATAAGATATATAAGATAGTCATAGGGGTGAGGCATATATGCAATAAGACAAAGCTAATAAAAGTGAGGCATATATAATGAGTTTTAAAAATAACAACTCAGATTTGTTCACGTATATAACATGCTTAATTAGAAATCAGTACATAATGTGTTGAGATTTTATTAATGTTAATTTTAAAAATAGAATTTATTCATTTTCTTTTTCTGCCAATTAATATTTTGTTATTAGAGAACGTCAATTTTAAATATCACTATTATTGTACTAGAAAAAATATATCTTTATTCAGTATTTTCTATTTTATTGTTCTATACAACGAACCCTTCACATAATGTATACATAAGCATACTACTTCCATCTACTACATTTAAGAAGATTGTATCGCTGAGCATTGTATTATTAGTATTGTATAAGAGAAAAAAGGTATTCACATTCATTCAGTAAAATTACTGTTTTGTATAAATTAATGTTAATTTATTGCAAGTAGGTACTTACATGATCTAATATTATCCAATAAGTAGTTTTCACAGCTATTTTCTTTTTACCTTACTAACGAGTTTGTGATTATGAGTAACTTAGGTAAGTACATATTTGTTTAAATATGATTGATGAGTTACGTCGAGTCATAAAATTTATAATTGTTTACAAATACATACAAATCTTGTTTGACATTTGGCAGTTTCTCATCCATTCTCTTCACAGATAAAGAGACTAGGTAGTTATAATCTATGTCTAAAGATTCTCATTCCATAACCACAAACAAATAGTTTATGATTTTTTAATGTATGCCTCTGGTCTCTGTTTTCTTTAAAGATTTTTATTGGGTTTTCTCTTCGAAAAGAATGATTTTTCGCCTTGCATTTTTATTGCTTTATGTCTTTACAATAAAAATTTCGCTGTGATATTAATTGGAATTTTAATTTTAGGAATACTATCCATAAACTATGAGATTACCATTGCACTTTTTATCTCAGAGCGATTATGAATTAAATTAATCCTGTTGCTAGTTGATCTCAAAATACTACTGTTTGTCTTTTCTTTTAAATAGATAATAATGGAATGGTAACCCCGCTTGCGCTATCGGTATACACTGGCGGGGTACAAGTGAAGGATGATGAGTAAAGATGAAGCAGATCAGTTAGCCTATCGTGACAAATTCACCAACGGATCAGCCACGATGATTTTTAGAGAGAACTGCGGGGAGGTCAACCTGATAAGATATACTGCTAGTACTAGAGTTACTAATCCCCATTACTAACGATCCCTATACGTACTGTTGTTTGTCATTAAAGTGTAATTTTTTTAGTTATGGACGTAGGTACGTATAAAATAAGTAATTACGTGCTAATTTTAATTTATCTACAGGGAGCAATTATGCTATATAATAATATATATTTTTTAAGAATTATTAACGAACTGTTAAAAAATTTTTCACGCAGTATTTGCTGTTATTTAAACATAAAAATAGATTAAAAACCCCGCCTGATAATAATCAAAGATTAAAATATGAAATTTTAATTTCTGTTATCGGATTATACTGTGGGGTATTAGACTCTGATACCACCACAAGTGAGCACGGGTGAGATGTCAGGGGAAGGGATTATTAGTATGGAAATAAGCAATCCCATCGCTAGCAATAATCCATATTAGGTTGCTTTCCACACAGTTCCCCTTGGAAACCCTCATGATTAATTTATTGTTGAATGCGTCACGATGGACCAAGTACCTGTTTCATTCTCACCAATTATTCCTCACTGGTATCTCGCCTATTTATACCGATAGCACAGGCGGTGGTATCATTCCATCATCATTGATTAAAAAAGTAACATCGAAGAATAAACAGTGAGCATAAAGTTATTTCAGTTAGTCTATATGGTAATGAATTTTCCGAGAATTAGTCATGACCAACAACGAACAAGCAAGTTTTTTTTATACAACTTAGAATGGCAAACAAGCTGACGGCCCACCTGATGGAAAGTGGCAACCGTCGCCTATAGACATGAGCAGTACCATGGACATAACAGAGTATACTGTTTCGCCCATGATACCCCCCAAGCGTTGCCACTCCTGAGGACTCGGGTGTTATTCCTCTGTACCCTGTATATTCATGCCATATCCCACCCTTTAAACCGAAACAAAGCTATGCAAACACAGCTGCTGTACGATTGAAACAGAAATGGAACAGAGGTGCCCAAGCAAACGACTTTGTACAAAGTCGACCTGCTACGATATATTGCTAGTTTCCCTCTTGTCTATAGATATTATATAACAGGGACGAGGCTACAGCATTCGATGGAAACAGCCTCCTGCTGAGCATCGTACCAGTCGGCGGTAGCTCAAAAGTTTATGTTCCTAAATTGTCTATGAAATAAGTTTCGCTTAACTATCAAATTAATTAATAAATTTTAAAGAATGTTACTTTTTTGTTAGAATGGAGCAAATTACACTCGTAATTTCTTAATTAGTGCCTATCTATTCATTATAAACAAGAAACCATTATACCTATTAACCCATGCTTATTCTAGTCATATGTACATTTAGATGCCAAATTGAAAATTAAATTTTAACGTCATAGAGAACTTCAAAACTTACTCTCTTGTCTAAAACAAAATAATAATTACGATTACTATATTTAAGATTAGGTTGTGGAATATATGGATATTTAATGACGTATCTACATATGTATATAATACGTAACCTACTTTATTTACTTAGGTAAGTAAGTAGGTAATATTGAGTGTTTTGAGAATTATATTTTACATTGTACATATTCCAACAGTTCAATCTATAATCATGCCTATATGAATAATATCTAATAAGAATAATAAGTTTAAACATGTAATAAATAATATCGATCGCTATAATACATAATGTACTTACAATTTTGGTCCTTATTTTGAACGAGCGAGTATTGGTAGTTTGGATTATAATACATGCTGGTTGAACGCTGGGGAATTCGATTATTCATTGTTTTCAATACGTCTCGATTTGCACTTTAAAAAAATATAAATATAAAATCTGACTGTTTTGAAACCAGTTACACTACTAAACAATAACAATGGCAGATGCCTAATGGTCTTGAGATAAGCTTATCATTTATATCAGTCTAGTGGTATTATTTACACAAAATAAACGGATTCCTATAAATGGAATGTCACGACTTCTGAATAATCGGATAAATTGTAAAAATGAATACAAAATGACAGAATAAATAGATAGATAAATAAATACTCCAATAGAAAAACTATAATTATATAATACTAGCTATTACACACGACTTCGTCCGTGTGATTAGAATATGTTTATTGATGAGAATAAAAAGTAACCTATATCCTTCTCCATCCCATAGGTATAGTACGTGCATACCCAATTTCATAACGATTGGCTAAGCTGTTAAGGCGTTATAAAGTAAAAAACAAAATCGCTTTCACAACTTTATAATTAGATACAATATGATAGATTTGTGCAAGGAATAACGTTATTGAATTAAACTGGACTCGTAATATTACACGAGTGCTATTGGGATGGAAATTTTTTTATTTATTGGTGGATTTATGGATCACAAAACATATATAAATATCCTAAAAGAAAATCTGCTGCCAAGTGTAGCAATAATAGGTTGTAATAATAATTAGATATTTTTACAAGATAATGATCCAAAGCATAAAGCATGGAATACTAAGGCATAGATCCTATTGAAGACCTCATTTTTTTATGCTATTTAGAATGGCAAACAAGCTGACAGTCCACCTGATGGAAAGTGGTAACTGTCGCCTATAGACATGAACAGTACCATGGACATATCAGAGTATACTGTTTCGTCCATGATATCCCCATGCGTTGCCATTCCCGAGGATTCAGGTGTTATTCCTCTGTACCCTGTAAATTAATTATCTTATCTCACCCTTCAGACCGAAACACAGTCATGCAAACACAACTGCTTCACGGTAGAAACACGAATGGGACAGAGGACGAGTGAGCTCCCAATTATCTTGAAATTCCTTCTCAAGTATCTAGACAATAAACATCTAAAATGACCGATTTCAAGCAAAGAAACACTAAAAATTAAGCTGCACGAAGAACTGATAGCGTCTCGATTTATATTTCCAAACTGATCGATACTCGGCTGCAGAGAGTCCAACTTATTATCAATTCTAATGGTGGGCCAATAAACTATTAATTATTAATTTTGTTAATTTTTATTTACATATTTTTTAAGTGTATGAATACTTTTTGTTTATTATTTTTTGCAATGATAATGTAAAAAAAATATTGGTACTATAGTATGTTATATTTAAAAATAACAACCCTAGGTAAACGAATACTTTATAATACACACACTGTATATTTTTTTGGAAGCGAGAACTTAGACGGTTAATAAAATAATAATATAAGTTAACCCATCTATTTAAAAATAATACCTAGGTTGTGCCTAGGTCTTATAAACATGAAAAATAACATTTATCTCCCAGAATATACTACGAAATCTGTGGCACCACTGATCATTTATTTTTGAGAAATAAGTTTATTATACATGCGTAATTAAAAGCTTTTTTAAAAATGTTCAACTTAGTGATAGTGATCTATAAAAGGAAAGTGAAATTCTGGTAATAATTATTATATATCAACAACTTATTATACTATTGTAATAAATTAACGTAAATTTTTATACTTAGTTTACTGTACTGTATTATTATATTTTTAATATGGTTATTGTATTACTGTGTCTGTATTAATGACTATGTTGTTACTAAATATATGTAAAATAAATTTATTTCAAACATTGAAATGATAATAACTGAGAGTACATTAACCATAGACGTATTTGAGGGGAAGATCGGATGGGCTGTGTCCATCTCAAAACTATTTAGTGCCCACCTCAGGATCCGACCGAAGCTTCACAAAGATATGTCTGAGAGTGCATATACTTCTTTTTTAAGGACCCTAACCTGCTATAAAAAGTTATCGGAAATACGCCTAACTATAGCACACCTTTTTTTATTTTCTAAAGATTTTATTAATTATTTAACAATGAACGATGTTCAGTATTTTCAAAGACAATCACAAATAATGGATTTCACTAAAGTGAAGCGTTAAAGGTTATTTTTAGGTCCGAAGTATGCTTATTTCCAGACTATGTAAAGTATTTAACCCATTGGCGCAAAGGCATTACATAATTACTTTCATGGTTGTTATCCATTTTTTAATAATTTTTAGATTTTTATTCTACATTAAATTAGAGAATGCTTTAATCTATGGCTTTAAACTACGCTTTCACATAATAAGTAAGTGACAATAGCAGCCACATGACAAATGACAACTAAGTGATGACTTAGTCTCTGAAATCTGTGATGAAAAAAATTAATTAGATAAAACAAAAAACAAATGATATAAAAGTTCAATGTCCCGTGTCATAAGAAAGGAAAAAAAAAATTCAAGGAAGTTTTAATTTTTTAAATAATTTTCTTTTAAATAAGTTTGATTTCAATTTATAGATCAAATTTATAAAGTACATTTTATTTACTGTAAAGAAAAAGGTAATTTAATCAAAGTACACTCCTATATCTGGATACCTATTTTTATTTTTTGAATATAATCTTTCTAGCAAAAATACATTTTGAAAGTCGAAGCATCATTAATTTATTACGTGTTAATTCTTTATGTTTACTATTATTAAACTTTAGTATCATCATAGTATAGCCCACGCTCAATTCTAATATCTCAATCATGTTCTGAAATTAATATTTTTTAAAAGTTTTTAAATATCATTATCATAGGAATCTTATTCTCAACTATATAGGTGAATCCATTGTTAAACATAGATATTTTCTATATTTTGCCACAACATACATTTTTGTATCCATTGATTTCCTACAATGTTTATGAGTTCATCAATTCTACACTATGTTAATGACTAAGAACCAATATTTTTGGTTAATATGTAGGTATAATTGAGATCATCATACAATATTTTTTTCTATTGCTTATTGAGTACCCGAATAATGTAATTTGCCCATTGTCATTTTAGCCTGTCAGATTATATGTTACTTCTGTGAATAATTCCTGTTATAATTATTTTATTTAAGTATTAAATGTATTTTAGATATCTTGATTGCCTGTGCCACTGATGTTTCCTATGTAACTAAAATAGATATTATTTTATCTAAATTCATGCTACAGCTAATAATATTAGTATGGATTGCATTGCATTGTCTAGACTTTTGTAGTAAATAGTTTCTATATAGCTATGTACTTGAGTACTAACTTTCTCTGCATAGTAGTTAAAAAATATGAATTTAATCATGTTTTTACAACTTTCCCATTTAATTTTCCATATTTCTGAAAGGTGATGTCTTATGCCACTAGGCAACAAAGATAAATTTATTTGTAAACCTGTGTGTACAGTATGTACAGCCATACTGGTTATTCATTGATGGATTTGTATAATCTAACATGTTTTATAAATGTGTTACACAAAGTAAATATAATGTTTTTTATTTACAATTTACAGATCAGAAAAAGTGTAGGGTACAAACTAACTACCCAATAAATATGGCTGATGTTCTTAAACCAGAGTTAATATGGATAGAAGGTAGATGCTACAGAATAAATGATCCAGCTATGGAGATAACAGCATTTCAGGAACATGACTTATATGAAAATGGTTAAGATCTCCACTTACACTATGAAAAGTTGATGATAAAACCTTTTATTTTCTTGGTTTATTGTTTGTATTGGTGATTCAGTTCACTAGGGAAATTTACTAGTTATACCATATAAAAATATTTTTCCATGATTTATTTAAAAAAAAAAACAAGTTGTGAGAAACAGTGTGAGAAACAACCAAAGTTTTTATTTTTGAAATATAAATGTGTATTTTACATGATTATGTACTTTATACTGCAGGAAATAATATTTTTTTTACATAATAGTATGATACTTAAGAATCAACCAAACTATCAATTAGCTTTGTCAACTATTAAGACTATGACATTAGTTCTACACTAGTAACAAATATATTACTGAAAGAATTGTATTTCAGAGGCAATATTTAATGATCCTGATGATGATGATGAAGAGGATGAATTTGAAATAATCATGATGGACAACAATCGATATTCTACAAGTATGCATGTATCTAAGTAAGTATTTACTCAGTTTTATATAAGAGAAAGCATAGATATACTCCACAGTTTTGGTCATATAAATAGACAAAGAATGATCTTTTGATCTATATATCAAATTACATTCCCAAAACTTGTGGAATATGAGTATTTATAATATCATATCATAGATATGGCAAATACCTGATTATCTAAAATATGGTATTTTTGTAATCTTAGTTTGGCAATGGATATTTCCTATATAGTATATGTATATATAATTAATGCAGTGTACGACGACCCCTGACTAGATGGAGTGATGACCTGAAATACATTGCAGGGAGTTAGTGGATGCAGGTGGCTCAGGATCGTTCTTTATAGCAGTCTATGGGGGAGACTTATGTCCAGCAGTAAAAGGATAATGGCTGAAATGATGATGATGATATGTATGTATAAAAAGATGTTTTAATAATTACATTAATCATTTTCAGACACTATATTGGATCAATTATCGGTAAAAAAGGTGCTATGAAGATGAGAATAGAACGAGACACAAAAACTGATATTAAAATACCAAGGCAAGGGCAAACAGGGTATATTATGATTTATGGACCTAGTGCTTCTGTAAGAAAATTATTATGAATGCTTTTTTTCATGTAACTTAGAATGGTCATTAACTTATTATGATAAATTCAATAAGAAATAATCATAACTGTGTCCAAAAGAGACCATGCAGAGGTCAAGATATATTGGTAGACATTGCCTATTACTTTTTTCTTTCCAGAATGTAAAAGCAGCAAGAAGAAGAGTAAATATAATAGTAATGTCATCTAGAATGAAACAAAAGTCTACACATTTTATTTCAATACCAATGAATTCACCAGACATTATCAAAAATTTTGAAAATTTTAAGGTTTGTTTTATTGTTATACTAGTTGTATCCAACAACTTTGTTCATGTAAATGAGAATGAGAGAAAAAAGCATATAATAATCCAGGATATGGACCATATCGTGGATTAATACATATTTTTATTTTATTTACACCTATGTTTTTGAGGATTGTAAAATAAACAGGCAAATAGAGCTTTGTGGTCCCGTCATTGAATGGGTCACGCTTTCCTCTTCTGTGAGTGTCGTAAGAGGCTTGAACTTGAACTTAATAGTTGAGGAATAGGCAGCTGTGTCCCTTTTAAAACATCTCCAAATCTTAACTGCGGTTACCAACCTGCCTGTCAAGTGTCAACTATTGACAAAACCCTCTAATAGGGCCTCCCCTACGTTCAGTAGTGGAAAGTTAACAGCTGATATGATGATGATGAAACTGTGTAAGATGACTTCACATTAGATGAAGTGATAACTTCAAATGCATTGTAGGTAGTCCATGGATGCAAGTAGCTCAGGACAGTTCCCTATGACAATCAAGAGGGCTAAAGTTCAGCGGCTCAAAATTTAACGACTGAAAAATGAATAAATGATGATGTCAATCATCATAAATACCTGATTTTGTTATTTTTTACTTTATTTAAAAATGTATAATTTATAATAAAGTTGACATTTTAGGATAAAAGAAATCTAGTATTTATTTCTACAAATTCATACTTGCTTCAGTATGTTTTCTTTAATATGGTATGAGTAATTGTAAACAAGTATATATTTATTATTATTTGTTTTAGGAAATCGTTCTCCGTGATAATTCTAGCAGAGATTTAGAGGAAAGTCTATTTATTAAAGCGCAAAAACTACATATTACAGTGGGCGTTATGTGTTTAATGGATAATGAAGAGAGATTGTATGTTTCGAAGCTCTTTACGGAAGCCAAAGAAAAAATTATTATGTAAATAAATTTTACAATCTTAACAATATTAATATAAAACACTAGCGTGTAATAATAAAAATTCGTCTATTTTCCAGATCGTTAGGGCTTCAGTTATTTTCTTATGATAACAAATTGAAACGTATGCGAAAATATACAATTAACGATTTTTTTTGGAGTTACAATCTTCTTATAAATTTCATATTTTACTTATCAGTTTTTTTTATAAAATTAAATTTATAAAATTTTGTTACGGTAAAAAAAAGGAATTTATGACATAGATATCATTTAATCCCGAAGCCCAAGGATAAGCAAGCTGAAGTGGCAATGGGCTGGTTACATAGCTCGAAAAACCAACAACTAATGGGGAAGAAGGTTCTTGAGTGGCGACCCCTTACGAGCAAACACAGTGTAGGATGACCCCCCCCCCCCCCACTAGATGAAGTGACGACCTGAAATGCATTGCAGGGAGAGAGTGGATACAGGTGGCTCAGGGCCGTTCCTTATGGCAGTCTATGGAGAAGGCTTATGTTCAGCAGTGAACGGATAATGGCTGACATGATGATGATGATATCATTTAATTGCTTCCTGTGACCAATAGCCACTTTATAAGTAATTAGAAATAGTACATACTTTAATAACGTTTCTTGTTATTTAAATTTAATGTTTCCTCATTATATTTTAACAATGAGGCATTTCCAAAATTTTTTTTACATAAATATTTGTTATTCTATTATTTAGAAGCTATATCTTCTAATTTTACTTATTTCAGGCCGTTAATTCGAGATCATTTACCATTACGAATTAGGTTGAAAGGTTTGTCATATATGAACGATGACCCACGGAGCATCGATGTTCTTTACGGCCTAGTGCAAGAAGAGGCCGCTCCTACTGGCTTATTACAAAATTTAACAGATGCATTAGTGGAATATTTTTATAAAGCAGGTATAAATTAGTATTTTAGACTAGTTATTTTATAAGACTTTATAAATATTTGCTATGTTGACATTTTTTATGTAATGCTTCTTTGTTGTAATTGCAATCAGTTTTAGTATATGGTTGGTATTTATTATATAGTTATTATTTAGTATAATTGTCCCTCAAAATTGTCTTTAATTACTAATAAACAAACATACACAGGTAGTATAAAATTAGTATTGGCTGTTATATTCATAAAATTGATAAAACATTTTCACATTTTCTAATAACTTGCCAATATAATACACGAGTTTTAAAATTAAAATATTGTTACAGGTTTTATGGAAAAAGAATATGGTAGGGAGCATGTGAAAATGCATGTAACCTTGATCAATTCAAAGTATAGAAGTCGATCATCAGAAGCAACAACAGCAGAGGACAAATGGAAAGACAGGAGAAAGCCAAGAATCACTTTCGATGGTTCCGAGATCTTGAAAAAGTTTGCAGACTATGATTTTGGTGTCACAGAATTAACCGATATACATCTCTCTCAACGTCATTCTATGGGTCCAGATGGCTTTTACCAGCCAACTTGTGTTATTTCTTGTAATAAAGCATAATGTTTATTAATAAACTTGTTTTATTCGCTTCTAACTAGAAGTGTATGGGGGGGGGGGAAGGGATTGTTAGTACTGGAGACTGAGAATCCCATTGCTAGCAATATACCCAACCAGGTCGACCTCCTCGCGGTTCCCCCTGGAAACTATCATGGTTAATTCCTGATGAATTCATCATGATGGGCTAACTGGCCTGTTTTTATTCTCATCTATCACTCTTCACTGGTGCTCCGCCAGTGTATCCCGTTAGCGCAGGCGGGGTTACCATACCATTTTCACTCATCAAAAAAAAAAAAACTAGAAGTATATACGTAGGATAAAAATGAATTATAAAATTGCATCAAATGCTAATCATCTTTAGCTACACACCTCTGACACACCTAATTATACCTACCTATATAATAAGAACTATTCCTTATTTATGAGAATAACGAATATACATTAGACTTGTTATGATAATAGATAGAACATAATCATCTCATCTTCCTACCCTTATCCCAATTATTATTTGAAGTCGGCGTAATATGATTTTATCCATATTACTAAAAGATTTGGCTTATAGTCCTACGACCGGCCGCCTGCCTGACGTCAACCCTCTTTAGGAATGCATTTGTTGGTAGATTCCGCCACCTACGGTTTGGAGGAAAGGATTAAAGAAAAAAAGGAAGGGAACGTTGGAAATGCATAAAGGATATTAGTAAATGAGAGAAATAAGGGACTTATATGGGAAAGGAAAGGGGGGACACTGCAGCGGCTTGGGAGGCCGGGGTCGCATACCCGTATTCACTTATTCTAGAATCGGACAGATTTCTAGAGAACACCCCTGACAATAGATAGAACATGAGATATAAAAATATAGAGGCCTTTGGTTCTCTTTTTTTTTGCATTGCAGAGGTCTGCCTCGCTATCGGTATACACTGGCGGGGCACCAGTGAGGGATGATAGGTGAGGATAAAATCAGATTAGTTGGCCTATCGCGACGAATTTGACGATAATTAATCACAATGATTTCATGAATGAATGACAGGAGGTCGACCTAACAGCGTGAATTGCTAGCAACGGGGATTAACGTCCCTATTCCTAACAATCCTCCCCGCACCAGTTCCATTGGTATCAAAATACTACTAGGTCGATTTGCACGTGGTCCTACACTGGAAACTATAATTCTTGGCATAATCGTCACGATGGGCGGACTAAATATATTTCATAGGTACTTGTACTTGTTTTTTATCGTTTACTGGTGTCCCAGCAGCGTATTCGATAGTGCAGGTGAGGTTACTATTCCATTATCAACCATAAAAAATATCATGTCATAGCTAACTACATTTTAAGCGTGAATCTTCACATCTCTCAATCACATCAAGTGATTTTATGATTATAATAGTTAAAATGCAAAGGTGCTGTTAGAAAATAACAAATAGGTATATGTTTATTCAATATGTCCGTAAATGCTTATATATAATGCTATGGACGAAGTCGCTACCTTCTGAAACCATTAATCTGATACTAAGCTTATTTAAGTTTCCAGTTGGTCACCCATTATCCGCAGCTTTCTAAGCCACAAGTAGAAAGGATTCAGCCATGAGTTAGTAATTTTCCGCATTTTAAGATGTAAATATAATACTTATGAAACTGAATACAACTGCATGAAATATAGTGTTACCTACTTATCAGAAAGACATGTACTAATAAGATAGTTAAGAGAAATGCACTGAGAAAATTGAGACGATTGTATAGGTTAGCGGATCTTTATAGAAGTTACCGGGAAAGTCGGTCAAGGTGAAAAGCATCGCACTTACAAGGACAAACTTAGACAATTCCTTAAAAGATGTCAGATTAGAACTATCTAAAACCTTTGACTCTGTATGATAAGGATATAAATAGGTATAAACACTGAAGAAGGTATGTTAAAATGACGGTTACCACTTTCCATCAGGTCGTCAGCTTGTTTGCCACCTCAGTGGTATAAAAAAAATGGGACCAAAACGAGATAAATATAATTTATTTATTTAACTAATTTTATTGACTGAAGAAAATATGACATAAAAGACTATGAATTGAAAAAAGAATTATATGTCAAAATTGGTTTAGAATTAATCGTGCATAACATAATTGCCTATTTTAATAGTTGAATAAATATATACCTTTTATTAAAATATTTTCCTTTTTTTGTCATAGAATTCTTTATACTATGGTAAATAGTTATTTATTACCTCATTTTGTGCATTGGGTTGTATTACAGACTACCTGCATATACGCTTTTCTGAATTCGGTCTGAGATGTTTTGAATTGGATCTTAATTTTTTTGTTGTTAGTTTTTTATGGTAAATTTAATGTTTCGATAACAGTACAAGTATTTATATAAATCATAACTCAATTACATTATAGTTTTAGAACAGGAACTTCCTGTTCTAAAACTATAAAATATTAAGCGATAAAATTGTTTCGAACTATTCTTATAGAATATAAATCATTTAGGTAAGTACATAATCCTAATAGCTAAGCCGTTATGAACTTGGAATTAGACTTCGTAGCTCTATGTTACTTGGTAGCTTTAGTAGGCAGGTGGTCGATGACAAGCGGCGAGCGATGAATTTATTACAAAGTATAACAAGAACAAATGTATTACGTAATGCGTAGAATGAATGTATGTCTCATTGTATTCCAAAAATAAGTACTTAAATAGGTATTTACCTATATAATAAAATCTAAGTTTACCAAACAATTAAAGAATAATATTTTTACGTTATCTTTCTATTATGTTATCAATAATTGTGGTTTCACTGTCTGCAAACCTAAGCTTTTATTTTAGCTAGTTATTGAAACTATCAAATAATACAGCCTTAATTAAAAACTATCAATCAGTTTTCATCTGTTTCAAACGAGAATTGTTTTACATAGTCTGACTACAATTTGACTTCTTGGGGCAGTGGTTAGCATGTTGTTTTACCTAAATAAATTTATTCTACATGGGGACAATTTAGGAAACGACCTTTTTAAATTGGCTAAGATTGTAGATGTTCTTTGTCTAATATCTTATAACATAGAGTATGCTAGCTTGAGGTTTAGCCAATTAGTGTGATAACATGGCATTTATTATATTTATTATAATTTATATAACAAACTATAATCCAAGAATCTTAGGGGAAAATGGATTGTTAGTGATGAGGTCTAACAAACCCATTGCTAGCAAAATACTCTTTCAAGTCGATTTCCACGCGATTCTCCCTGGAAACCGTCATGATTTATTTTTGTTGAATTCATCACCATGAACTAACTGATTTGCTTTCATTTTCACCAATCATCCCTTACTGGTGTCCCGCCAGCGTCTACAGATAGTGCAGACAGGGTTACCATTTCATATTCACCCAATAAAAAAAAATCACTATAGATGGCACTTGATCACCTGACGCTTGTCGCTAGCAATGAAACTGTATGTTTATGCGGGCCGGGCGCGGGGTAGCCCGCCTCAGTAGAGTCGCATTGCCTACGCGATGCGCCCGCTTTGTGTCCTTTGTAGCGCGCGTAACTCACATCCAATTGGCTACGAACGTGGCGCGAACCTAAACATTTTACACTTGTTTTAGTGTAACAAATCAACGGAGTCTACTTGGTAAACTGTAAGTATTTTTTCTTAATTCGATAATTATGTTAAGACAAGAAAAGGGGATTAAAAATTTTATATTTTTGCCTATTCTGAACTGATTTCGATGGTTCTTTTTTATACAAAGGATTACACTAATACGCACATATGTTTTGAATTTGACCTTTAAATTCATTTAGGCTGTGTTTTTACCACTTCAGGTAACCATTTTTAAGTGTTTACAGAAATGGAAGTTTGGACATTATTGTAACTGAAAGCAGTGTAGCTTTGTATAAAATGTATGAAATTCCATGAGTAGCCATGTCACAGTGAATTTGTCAAAATATCAATATAAATCGCAAGGATATAATAAATATGTTACTTATATAATCAGTAGATGCTGTAAGATCGCATTATGATAGAAATCTTCTAAGCTCTACAAATTATTAACAGAGCAGTATGTATATTTTAGGAAACAGAAAAATAAATAGGGATATATACAACATTTCATAAAGTAATAGTTTATTATGTATGTTTAAAATTATCGAAAACTTATAACTATAAAAATTAAGTATTTGATTAGCACTTGAATTTTAAAAGTAACGATATTTTTTTATCCTATAAATAAGTAGTAACTTAATCAACATATCTACCTACCAACTTGTAATTGGGATAACTCGATGTGGCAAGGGAATTGCTGACTCGATGTGGCGCCGCATACCGTTAAAATAAATCGTCGAACTTCCCCTTACTGAAATGGTAAAAAAGGGCGCAGTCATTTCCTCGAGCTACTTTATAAACTGCTATACTTTTAGAATAGGATTTTTTACAAAGGTGGTAAAAAAAATGGTGTTACACAGTCTATGGAAGAGAATTATATTACCAAGTATATAATAATTAAAGAAACAGAGAAAGATTTTTACATGGTTTTGAATAGCACGGAAACATCAATCGACTATTACATATTATATATAAATAAATCAAAATTAGTACGAATATATTTTTTTTATTAAACATTGTGTCTTAAAACAACAATAAATTTTGAGGCTCTCATATACATGAACATGGCATGTCAAGCTGTCCAATTTCACTGATAGAACACTCAATTAAAAGGAAAAGTCGTTAGCACGACTTCTATTTCATTCTTTTAACAAAATTGTCTTGTTTATTGTCCCATTATTATATGTAGAATTAAAGTTTGCGAAGACATTTCATTATATAATGTACAAAGAGTATTATATAGATTAGAACGTATAATTAAAGCATACCTAAAAGAAGTTGAGAGCCGAAAAAAGAGATAGAGAAAAGCCCAACTTGGCTTTTTTTAACAGTCAGATACGACAGAGTACCGACTGATTTAGTATTTTTTACATTCTTTGTTAGACATGTTTATTAATAATACTTATAAGTACATGGCAATCTAAATAAAATCCA